CTAGAAGCCTCTGAATTTCCAAAGAAACACCACATCAATCAAGCCAAGGAAATTATGAGGAAATGTCCTACTTGTTCTTTGTATTACCAGACTTCATTACCTGCAGGAAGTAAACCAAAGGATACTCAAAGAAATAAAATGTGGCAAATGAAGGTGTCTGATTTTTCAGAGTTTGAAAAATTAAAGTATGCGCACCGTACCATAGATTTAGGTTTTCAAAGGGCATCTGTTTAAGTTCTGAAAAGGTTGACCCTGTAATTATGCATTTATTAGAAGTTATGGCCATCATAGGGATACCTCCACAAATTAAGACTGACAATGCTCCAACATGTGTGTCTAGCAAAATAAAACAGCATTTTGTATATTACAATATGAATCATATTACACGCATACCATGCAATCCTACAGGACAAGCAGTTATAGAAAGATCTAATAGCACTTTAAAAGATATACTTAATAAACAGAAAGGGGTACTCCCCTCCCTCCCAGATGCTTTATTAACATTAAATTTCTTTAATGCTAATGAGAACAGAACAACAGTTGGGGAGAGACATTGGATAATGGAAGAAAATACTGCATTAAATCAGCCTGTATTCTTCAAAAATGTGTTGACCTCAGAATAGAAACCGGGATATGTGTTACACTGGGGAAGAGGTTTTGCTTTTTGTTTTCACAGAAGAAGAAAAACTATGGACATCACCAAAACTGATAAAGATTAGACTAGATTCAAACAGGAGAGACCTCTTGATTAAGAAAGGCAATAGTTCATCAACTGCATGGCCATTCCATCTAAATTAAGTTATAATACAGATGTCTTTCATTTGATCAGCTATAAAGGGAAACCTCCCCAAAGTGAAAGTTGGGGCAGGGTTTTGTTTTTGTCTTTCCAGGAGAATTAAAGCATCCAGCTAAAGAAACTGAAGACCACTGGACAAATGAGGCAACTGAAGGAGGACAAATCACCCAGAGAAACAGTCCCAAGAAAAAGAGTAAACTGGCGTAATGACATAATATGTTTCCAATAGGAAAAAAATTTCATAAACCTTCCCAAATGTTTGTTTCTACTGTTCTCCACAGACATATAAGGAAAACTGTCTTTTTGTAGGCCCAACTCAATTAAAATTTAAAGCTGGCTTTGGAGTTGGAGCTCTCTAGTTCTCTAAACCCAAGCATGCTTGTTAGAGGAAAATGCAAGGTCTCTGTCTCATGTCAGAAGAGCCACATGGTATAGGACAAAAGAAAACCAAAATTAATGCACTATCCTATTGCCTATTGCCACTTATCTCATAATACTTTGGTTTTACTTTGACACTTCAAAACTTTTCTTAAGGTACAAATATTATCTCAAAATTGGTAAGATGTATGTGTATACACACACACACACACACACACATACATACATATTTTAAACTTTCTGTCATGATGTTAATGGTCATATAGAGTACTAACTAATTCTGGAAATAGGCTTCATCTAGCTTCCTTATGTAATTTCAGGCTTGAGTATGAGGCAGGTAACTATGAACTAAGTTCGTGTATCCTGGGTGTATTTAATAGACTGTGGTCCTTTAATCTCTCCAAGATCTGCTGCATATAACACTTAAAATGTTTTGGTTTTCTACAAGGAACCATGACCATTCATTCCTAAGAGCGACCTTTGAAGTCTCCAAAAGGATGATGTGGTCCCACAACAATGATTCCACCTGGATGGTGATAATACCACTAAGCTGACAAACACTTTAGCTAAGATTATGGGGCATCACAGACTACTCCACCCAGAACTTCAGATAAGCCTTGCATTTTCCCATCACACTGAGACTGGATAGCAGCTAGCTCTCCCACGATTTGATCTTTATCTCAAAATTTTTAGGGTGCCCTTAAAGATGCTGTTGTCCCCAGAGCAGAAACGTAAATTTAAGAACATGACAGGAACATTCACAAGAAGTTGGGTAGGTCGTTTTTGGTTGTTCAATGGATGCTTGTCATCGTTTAGGGAGAGTTGGTTACAAGTTGTTATTGGTCAAGGTTAGGGAGGAAACTAAAGGTAAATTAGATCCAGGGATCTCCTTCTTAAAAGAAAAAGGGGGGATATAGAAATGATAAGATAAAAGGGTAGATTATTGAATCTACTTTCAAACCAAAAATATAAATACTAGTCTCAAATATTTTATATTGGTATGGATTTTGTATATTGATACAAATTTAAGGTTATTTTTGTTATACTATATGTTTTTACTCTTGTTTAAGATATTTTTGCAAATTAATAAAAATTTAAGGTTATTTTTATTAAACTATATGTTTCTATTTGTTGTTTAAGGTATTATACCTATGCAGTTCATTTAAAAATATAAAGTTCTAGTCCTTGACAGCTATTTAGGAAAATAGGTTAGTAGTTAGTCATCTGTAACAAACTTACAGTCATGTTAGGTATATTTTCAAGGTCAAACTGAGACATATTTTAAACAGATGGTCTTCAAACACTTCAGAGACCTACAGAATATGAAATTTAGTATTTTTGGTATAAAGTAAATCAAGTACAAAACTTTGGACTCACCAAAATAGGATAAATAATGGAGTATTTTCTTTGAATTTGCCAAATGCTAATGGACTAGACATAGTGAATGTATTTTTTACTCAATAATTGTTGTATACAGTTTTACAATGTTAGATTTTTAAACCCTTCCTTTTTATTTAGACAAAAAGGGGTAAATGATTCAAGGGAACTGTTTGTACTGCCACCTCACTATGCCAATAAAGTCACATTAAACCAATGATCGGCTGATCAAGATTAGCCATAGAGTTGTTGGAAGACTGAGGAAGTGAAATAGAGAGGGATAGGAAGAGAAAAGAAAGGGCTTGAGGAAGATTTCCAGGGCTTTGTGATGGGAAAGACATAGAGAGTAGGGTCACTTGATTATCCCTCCACTGTTCCTTAGATTTATTAGGTTTTTATCTCAAAAGCTTTTATTAACACTAGAACACCACAGAAGATAGCAGGAAACTTAAGTGTAGTGTAAAGCCTGAGCCACTGTGAAAGCTTTTCAGATGGCACAGTGTATATGGCACAAAGCTTGTGAAATATCTAAGTCAAAACATAATGAGGGCTACAGAAAGTTCAGTGGTTAAGAGCACTGGATGCTCTTCAATAGTGTCCAGGTTTGGTTTTCAGCACCCACATGGTGGCTCATTACCATTTGTAACCCTGTTTACAAAATACCCTCTTATGCCTTCATAGGCACCAGACACACAAGTGATACACATGTAGCAAACATTCATAAAAGAAAAACATAAATATATCTTTAGAAAAAATCACAATGTCACAGTAATACAATATGGGCAATTAAGAAAGTGATTTAAGAAATGGGTCATCCCTAAAAAGCAGGGGTTTAGTGTTTCATTTCAATTTTTAAAAAAATTTCTATACTACTGGCACATACCTCTACATTTTTTTACTGTTTATTATGTGAGATTTAAGATCTTATTGATAAGTTTTACTAATCATGGTATTTATTTTCCTGGAATAGGATGGAGAGGAAAATTTATAATGAACTTTCATACTGTGTTACTACTAAATAAATCTCACACAATTACCTTTCTTTCAAGCATTTAAAAAAACACTTCATAAAGTCTCAAAGTTTTAATAATAAAAGGAAATTCCAGTAGCAAACAAACTTCTATTTTTCTGGAAGTTGCCATTTGAACTGAGTGGGAAAATTCTGATAAGAAAACGATCAACCAGTGTTTAAGAGGTACAAAACAAAACTCAGTGTTGTTTTCACAAGGCCTGTTTCTCCAGGGATCCTGGCAAGATCCTCAGCTACTATATTAATCCAGGTATTCACAGTGTATCCACAGTTCAAACAACAGAAAAGAGACATTAACAGCTTAAAGGACTACACTTGGGGGAGGGGGGGTGTCATGACACCCTTATTTTAGCTAAGAGAGACCGTGTATTGAAGTAGAGAAGATGATAGGCCAGGAATGATCATGTGTGAGAAAATCGAGCAATATCAAAGAGAAAGGACATCAGTGAATAAGATGACAAAGGTAAGAAGCCAGAACAAATACAGACAACTTGGTGTGACATCATATGCATTGTGAAGACAGCACCAGAACCGTGGGTTTGGCGGAACAGCACAGTGCGACACACGTGGGTGATAACTGTTAACTGTAATGGAAACAGTGCTACCACTGGGATCTCAAGAGACGTAAGTGACATAACTGTTTTTCTTAAAAATTTCACGAAGCATAAAAAGAATACTCCAAATGTATTAGCAGAAACAGATTTCAATCTCAGGAACCTATATGATGTGAGGCAAGAAGGAAAATGTCATATAGTAATGTTGTGCTGAAAGTGACAATTTATAAAAAGTGGTGTCTGGTGTGGCAAACAGTAATTATCAAATCAATGGTAAGTCTATGAAAATCCATTATACTGTTCTACTTTTATATATATATTTGAAAATGCTTAGAATAAGTGTTTAATTAAAAAAAATTACATTGTATGTGTATGCATGTGTGCACACATGTGAAAAGTAAGAAGACAACTTTGTGAAACTGGTTCTCCCTCCACATTTACATGGGTCTAGGGACTGAACTCAGGTCATCAGGCTTCACAAAGCACCTTTACAGGGGAGGACACTTTGCTGGTCCTAGAGTAAGAACTTTTTAATATGTCTACGATAGGAGATATAGTAAGACATTAGAAGTAGGGGCCTCTTCCCAGCTGAACTGAACCTTCCAGAAGAATTTAAGCATTGCAGGGAGTAATTCAAAGAAATATATGTCATCACACTCTAAAATTAGGTGCAAAAGAAGTAAAAGCAATGTAGTTTGAGCAGGATATGTGCCATGTTTGACAAAACGTTTTCTAGAAAGTAGGAGAATTCAGCTGGCATTACAATTAGGCTAAGTGTAATGGAGTAATGCACACAGATACAAAAACAAATTACCAGAAGCATATCAACTCAGTGGAGCCCAAAGAACAATGGTGGGAGACTTACTTCATCTCCAGAACTTCCTCTAGGTGCTTCCTTCTCTCTGCCCGGAGGTTGGTGAGATGTGTCTCCTTCTCTGCCAGGGACTGCTGAGTGGAGGACAGCTTAGCTTTCATGGACTCCAGTTCCTGCTTCACCTTCTCCATGGCCATCAACAGTTCTTCCACCTATGACACATACAGAAAAGAAAAAAGTAGAATACCATGATCAAATCCAGAGTGTGTGGATGGGCCATGGGCAACTCCTGGGCTGATAAAATGGAAGACATACTAATCATTTTGAAATTTCTAAACTCTTTCTGATGATGTATATATACACATCAAGAATAAATGGGGTGGAGATTTATTTCTGGGGTAGAGAGCATGTCCGAGACTGTAGATTCAGTCCCCAGCAAACAGCAGCTATAAATAAATGAGTGAATGAATGTAATAAGGAACATTTAAGTGGGGGTAGAGGGAGAGTGGAAAAGAGAATAGACCCAGCAAGGTGGTTCAACTTGTAAAGCACTTGTTTTGTAACCCTAATGATGCCTGAATGACCCGAGTTCAATCCCTTGAATCCAACTAAAGGTCAAAGGAGAGAACTAACTCCACACAGTTGTCTTCTGACCTCCACAGGTGGTATATGTGCACTTTCTCTATCAGACATACACTGCCCCCACACACAAATAAAAAATAAAGCACAAAATACTAATACTTATGGAAGGAATATATGAAATAAAGGACAAACAGTTTTTATACATCTGAATTAGGTTCTATTGTTTGCGCCATTAAAGAGTTCTCTTTATTTTAAACCCAAAAATAGATGATCCTATAAAAGAGGCACAAGACTTTAAACAGATCTGGGAAAGGAGAAGCCTTGACAGAAACAGATTTGAAATAACAAAAAAAAAAACATTTTCCAGGCAACAAAAATACAGAATGGTAAAATACAGAGAAAAGAAACACAGAGGAAGGTATGCACTTCATAAGCTATTTTCACTCATTCGAGTAGGTCACTCGAATTTGAACTACTTAAATAAAAACTATACTGAGGAAAGCATGCTATCACCAAAAGGGGTCTCACAGGTGAGCACGGAGCACCAATTGTTGAAGTTTATATTACACTACCTCTCAACATGCTGATAACTAATCTTTACAAAAGTAAAAGAGGGTAGATAGAGGCAGAAATTCTGTCATTCACTCACTCTTACACAAACCAATTTTTGTGCTGCAACTGAGAGCTGTTTAAAGACAGGCTATGGTAAACATAACAGAGCTGTTTACAGGCTCCTTCAAACGAGTGCCTGGTACCTAACCACTTGGCTACTCAACAGAAAGAAAAGCACATTTGCATTTGGGTACCTGCATTACTTATCTATCTTCCCAAGAGCTCAAGCTGATCCTTGCCCTAATGGTTGGACTTCCTTAGGTACACATTTACTTCTGCAAATTTTATGTGAATATATATTACCCCCAGCTTTCTAGGAATCACTGATAAGAGTTAATTCCATTCTATCCATTTCATTAATGTAAACTTTTCTAAAACTGAGTAAATATGTTATGTAGAGATTCTTATGTTGACCACAAAACCAATGGCAAACAAACATGCACCATATGCAGGTGCTAACACAGAAAGAGAAAGATGTATTTGTTCCATCAGCATTTACTGCTTTGCCTACACAGCTCTCAAAAATCTCCCTGGCATCCTGTATTGCACCATTTCTTGCAACCAAGCATATCAGTTTCTTACATAACGTAGAAAGTTTACAAACAAAAGCAAAAGCAAGAATAAACAGTCAAATTCTTCTCTCCCTACACAAAAGGAAGCTCCATATATCCCTTTGCAATAAACAATTTTTGGTAATTCTTTTACAGAAGTACAAAGTACAGGAAGATAAGCAATAAATGTAGATCTTGAAAAATCTGCTCAAAGTCAATGCATCTTTTAGCACGTAGATTAACAAAGTGAACACTGTTAGCATCCAGAAACTGCCTCTATGTCCCTTTCCAGATAAAAAGTATTCTGTTTTTTCAAACTTGATTATTCTGCCTGCTTTAACTTTGCAAATGGAATCATATAACATATAATTAACTGGCTTTTTCTAAGAACCATCCATGCTGATGGTAATCATACCATATAGTGGCATAATTTTCCTAACTGCATATTCTACTTTCTGAAAACACAAAGACATATTTTATGATGCTTTGACAGGGACTATTTAATTGAGTGGACCTTAATAAACATAGGCTTTTTTTTTTTTTTTTGGAAGCTTTTGTTCAGTTTTGTTGTGTTTTTTATTTGAGAGATGGGTTCTCTGTGTAGCTGGCCCCAACTTGGGAGAGCCACCTGCCTCTGCCTGCCAAATGCTGGGATTAAAGGCATGCAAGTGATCTTTGCCAGGGCTGGGGGGAAGGGGGGTAGTGGTGGTGAGACAGGGTTTCTCTGTGTAGCTTTGATGCCTGTTTTGGAACTTAGTCTAAACACCAGGCTGGCCTCGAACTCACAGAGATCCTCCTGTTTGCTTCCCGAGTGCTGGCATTAAAGGTGTGCGCCACTACTGCCCAGCTATGTTCTTATTTCTTACGTTTGGAGTGTTTTGTGCCCTGCAAAAGAGTCTGTCTATATCAAAGTCATAAGGTTATTCTATCTTTATAAAATCTTGATTATTCATGTTTAGATTTATAAAACACATACACTGATTTCTGCATACACTGCAGTGGTCAAAATTAGCTTTCTGAGTATGTGTATCTAACTTACTTAATGCCATTAACAACACAAAAAATTAAGGTCACGGTTTACAAAAATTCCCATCTATTTTAGACAAGAAATTATATAAAGAAAAATTACATAAAGTAGGAAAAAATAATAGTCCTTCAATATACACAATTACCTTCAAATTTCAGAAATGAGAAATATGAAATGTTTTGTTTCATACAAAGACTGGATTCTATGCATATTTTCAAGAATAACAGCAAAACAGACATCTATCCCTTAGTCATGGTTCTGCTTTCTGTAGTTTCTGTTAGCTGTAGTCTGAAAATATCAAATGTAAAATTCCAGAAATAAACAATTTATAACTTTTCAATTATGTATCAGCCTAAGCAGTGTGATGAAATTTCACATCCCTTCTTCTTCCCAGATGGCTGTGAATGACTGCATATCAATTATTTGTGTCTGCTGTTTGTTTGCCTTCAGGACACTCAGCAGTGGCCTCAGGGATCAAACCCACTGACTTGCACTTACAGTGATTGTACTCAAGTAATGTTTATTTTTACTTAATAATGGCCCTAAAGTGCCAAGTGTTGTTGACAAAGAAAAGGTGTGAAGTGTTCTATTTCAATGAAAAACATAGTAAGATATGCTGAGAAAGAGGCCATATCTACATAAATTCTAATACAGTATGCTGTTCTAATGATTTTAAAATTGTTATTCTTTTCTCACTGTGCCCAATTCATAAATTAAACTTTACTATATGTATTCAATATGGTTTGCAGTCAGGCATCCATTAGAGACAAGTTTAGAATGTACCCGCCACATGTAGGAAAAGATTATCATACCTATCAATAAGCAGGTTAAATGTACTTATTTCATTGTACTCCTTTCCCTGGTTCCCAAAAAATTAGCATTCTTAATTTGTATTATTTCTTTTTTTTGCTACCTCCCCACCCCACTTTTTCTGAGACAGTTGGATACTGGTCTGAAAAATCACAATGTAACTAAGGCTGGGTTTGAACTCCTAATCTTCCTGTGTGTGTATGTTTACACACACACACACACACACACACACACACACACACACCAGAAGTCAACTTGTGGGGACTTGGTCCTCTCCTTCTACCATATAGGTTTCAGGGACTAAACTTAAGTTTGTTGGGCTTGACAGCAATCTTTTACCTGCTATGTCATCTTTCCAACTCACATTGTTTTTAAACTACATGCATGTATTTCATGCATATTTTTATCAGTTACAAATCTGAATAATTGATGTCTTTGTTTCAGCCATGACTTTTTTTTTTTCCTAAAAGGAAAACCATGAGTTTATATCCTAGAATGAAGAACAAAACAGCTATGCACTACAGCACATGAGCTGGAAGCCATGTCAGCCAATAGGAATGCCAACTGTAGTTTACTACAAGGAATAGGCTCCATGGGGTGTAGGAGTGGGGGATGGGGGGTGGGGAGGTGGGACATGACAATACCTCATTCCAGGTTTGGGGTGAGAAATGTACAAATGATCTTTGGTTCAAGAAAACAAGGAAAATAATGAATGTTACAAAGTAACACCCAACACCTAAAACCAAGAGAAGCTTAGGGAATGGAGAGGAGAGGGATAGGACACTAAGATTACAAAGAAAAGAAAGTGTAACTGGAAAACCAAACAAGACTGAGACTCCCGAAAACCGGACTTCATCTAAAGAATGCAAGTTTGGCTTAATATATAACTATCAAACAATATAATATACCATGTTAATAGAAAGCAGAACAAAATACATAATCAGCTCAATAGATTTTTAAAAAGCATGACAATTTCCAACAGTTTTAGAATAAAAACAACTTAAAAATCTAAGACTAGAACTTCAATTGACAAAGGCAGATGAATGATGGTGAACGACTGAATGTCTTCCCTCTAAGACTGGAATGCTTGCTTCTATCATTCTACTTCACACTGTAATGGGGATGACTGACACAACAAGGGATTATAAACTACAAGCAACAAATGGCTGCTGAGAGAGAATCAGCCTCCACCAAAGATGAATCCCCTGAAAGATATCTGATTCCAGGCAGTCAGTCCTAAAATTATGTACATAGGAGCAACACTGAACAAACTCATCGGGTCTTATTTATAAATTTATATGTATGCCCACATGTATAAATCAGTAGTAAAGAATAAAAGGTTAGAAATTCATGGGAAGAGCTGGAAGGAGGGTGGGGGGGAGATGGTGTAAATACAGTACTCATGTATGAAGTTCTCAAAAAGTAAATTACTTTAAAAAATTAAAAGTTATACACATGTAGACAGATAAGATGGCTCAGCAAGTAAGGGTACTTGCAGCACAAGACTGATGACTTTGTTTAGCGCCCACAGACAGGTGGAAGAAGAGGAAAAAAAAAAAAAACAACTCCATAGACCTCCACATATGCAACCACACACATACCCCAAAACATACAACAAACCCTTGGGTGA